TTTGAACTACAGCCTTTAAAACCTCTCACTCAGTGTAATTATAGAGCTCTTTGCCACCCACCTATCATCCATCCTTTACCCCTCTGACAATTCTATGCCAGCAACTTTGTCCCCTCCCTGATGTGGTTCCTCTTCTAATGTCTAACAAAAAGGCAGCCTTTTTTTTTTTTTTAATAAGGAATTGTTCCTGACTACTGTTCATGTCCTCACTTCTTACAGACAGAATAAAAGCCTACTCTCTACACTAACACTGTCTTTTGCTACCTCACAACCACCCCTAATTATTCTCACAAGTGACCTCTTCTAACCAGCCTTCCCTGATCCTCTACATTGGTTCAGGGATCCAGCACTTGGGAAGCTGAGGCAGGAGGAACAAGTCCTAGCTTGAGACTAGCCTTGGGTACATGGTGAGTTCAAGGTCATTCTGAACCACTTAGTGAGATCCTGTCTGAAGAAGAGCAAGAAGAGGAGGAGAAGGAGGAGGAGAAGGAGAAAGAAGAAGAGGATGAAGGAGGAAGAGGAAGGAGAAGAGGAGGAGGAGGAGAAAGAGAAGAGGAAGAAGGAGGAGGAGGAAGGAGAAGAAGGAGGAAGAGGAGGAGGAGGAGGAGCAGAAGGAGGAGGAGGAGAAGAAGAAATAATGAATGCTAAATGGATAAGTGAACATGAGTAAGTGACATCGAAGATTTTCAATGGAATTACCTACATGTATCCTCCCACTCTTCAGTGGGAAACACTTTCAGTTGTATATGATTGTTTTCAAATATATTATTTGTTTAATTCTCAGCCTACCAACTGACATTAGTAATTACTAAAAGCATTTAAACTTCTGCCACAGCAACCATTGAAGAACAGTGGCCATGGCTCTTCACTATCCCATGGCCATGGGCCTCAACAAGGGCAACAAGGTGACTAAGAATGTGAGCAAACTGAGGCACAGATGCTGTCGTGGACGCCTCACCAAACACACCAAGTTCGTGCAGGACATGATCCTATGAGTGGCGCCATGGAGCTGGTCAAGGTCTCCAAGGACAAACATGTCCTCAAGTTCATCAAGAAAAGGGTAGGGGATGCACATCTGCGCCAAGAGGAAGTATGAGGAGCTGAGAAATGTGCTGGCCACCATGAGGAAGGCAGCTGCCAAGGACTAAGCCCCTCTGGAATAAAGCTTTGCAGGAAAAATTAAAAAAAAAAAAGTTTCAGAGAATTCAAGTGATTTGTCCAGGATTAGAAGAGTATATTCAGAATCTGGGACTTCACATCTTATGCTCTTTCCTATGGTAATAGATTGGCTCTGTCCCAAGTGGAGCCACTCCTTCCTAAAACTTCTGCTGATACTGAATCCTGAGTTTAAGCTACTCCTGGTCATACCCTCTCTTTCCACTCAAGTCTGCAGCTCATTTTTCACCTTTTCAGAGTTTGTTACTCCAGGGTCAGGGAGATAGCTCAGTAGTATAAGCACCTGCCTGGCAAGTGCCAGGTCTTGAGTTCGATCCCTGGTACAAAACAAACAAACAAACAACCCCCCCCCAAAAAAAAAAAACCCAAACAAAAAACAGAGTTTGTTATTCTAGATTACTGGGAAACCTCTGCCTTAAATGTACTCTTTCACTCTCAGCATTTCTACCCACCTTATCCTAGATTTCCCCTTAATTTTTTCACTATTTCTTAATTTGGTTTCCCTAATTAGGTGCAAGCATCTGGGACTAGAAGATAATACTGTGAACATCTCTATTTTTCTAGTATATTCAATGTGTCTGGTACAACTAGCATGGCACAAACACTAAATACCTGTCAAGTAAACAGTCTGCCCTTTTGTTAGGAACAGTCGGTATGTCTTAGAATTAAATTCAAATAAAAGGAGAGAATAGGTTTCATCTTTATTCTATCATCAGAGGATCTATCAAATAATAATGGTATTGAGACTAGGTGTGGTGGCACACACCTGTAATCTCAGCTCTTGGGAGGCTGTAAACAGGCAGATCACTACAAGTCCTATCTAGACCCTGAACACCCTGCACACCCTGTAGACCCTTCCCTAAAATCTATGAAATCACTTTAGTGTCTATATTCTGGTATATGGCACATGGACAAATATCTCAGCATGGCCATGGAAGCAAATGTATGCTTCATGAAGCTTTAAAGAGTCTGTAGACTCATTGGTGTTGTCAAAGTTCTAGGTATAAACCACAGTCCAACAACTGGCTCATACTAAATTGTAATTTTCAGGGCTGGGGAGATGGTCAATGGAATAAGCGCTTCCCTGGCAAGTGCAAGGGCCTAAGTTCAATCCCCGGTTCTGGAAAAACAAAAAAAAAAAATTGTAATTTTCTCTATAGTAAAATAAGCTTATTAATACTTGCCCTGCAGGTCTAGAACTGCTGTAATTCAAGTGAAGCAAGTTTTAGAACTCTCTGTATCAAGAAAAGAACATGAGTTGTTTCACTTCCATTTGGTTTTGAATTCCTCTAGTGCTCTTAAAGCCTAGTTTTAGGATGAGGGGACATCAGCCTTACATGAGAACGGGTTAGAAATGCAAATTCCCAGTCCTCATCCTGCACCTACTGAATCAGGAAATGTGTGGGTAAGTTCTAGCAATCAGTGTGATTTTGATGAATTCTGAGAATGGATGCTTTAGGATAGTGGTTTTAAACCTGGTAAATTTGGCCAGGTGTGGTGGTGCATGCCTGTAATCCTAGCATTCAGGGGGCTGAGGCAGGAGGATCACTGCAAGTTTGAGGCCAGCTGGGCTATGTAGTGAGTTTAAGGCCAGCATGAACTAGATGGTAAGCCCCTCTCTCAAAAAACGAAAACCCAAACACCAAACCAAACCAAATTAAACAAAAAACTTGGTGATTGCAGCCCCACAGGTCATTGGGCAATGTCTGGATGCTTTTGGCTGTCATGACAGGGGAAAGGTGCTACTGGTACAGAGTGCAGTGGCCAGGGACGCTAAACGTTTTATGCTGCAATGACCTCTATAACAAAGTATCAACGGTACTGAACTTGAGAGAAACTGTACTAAGCTGTAGAAGAGCTACCCTCTCACTGGAGGGTTCTGAATATATAATAACCTAATAAACATACAGCCAAACCATCAATGATTTTACTTATATAGCCTGTACCAATAGCATCTTATTAAGCTACGATGAAAATTAGAATACATTATTTCTTTGCAATACAAGTTTAGGCAGTTTCCTATAGACCTATTGCTTAATCTTTTTTAAGCAATGTCTCAAGAAGAAATGATTTTGCTGATGAGACATGTTTTCTTTCCTGAGTTTGCACTATGAAAGCAAAGGATAGGTTAATTTTTTCCAAATATATATCTTTTAGTTTTTTTCACATTTCATATATTCTCTTCCTTTGCTCATCACTGTTCACTCGAGAATAATTATTCTAAAAGTCAGACTCTTAGCCTTATATTTAAGGCCCTTCATGATCTGATCCCTTTGGAACTTGCACTATCACCTTCTTCCCCAGATTTGACTTGTTTCCTGTTCCTAACTCTTGGCACTATTCTTTCTGTACAGAATGTCCTTCACATTTACTTACCTGTTCCATCAAACACTAGTTCAAATGTGACTTGTTTAAATTTCTCCATGTATAATCCAGAATGTAGTTGTCTACTCTTAGCCAGGAAACCTCCAGTTCTGTTTTGTTTTTGTTTTTTTTTTCCCCTTGTGTTTACTCATTTATTGTAAGGAATATTTTTTAGATACAAATGATCAGCCAGAGGAAGACATACATAGGGTCAAGTCCGGAAGTCCTAGGCAAAGGTACTTCTGTCTCCATGTAGTTGGGATGCACATTCTCTCAGCATGTAGAATTGTACTTGTTTCCACTCCTGTAGACTTCTGTGTGTTCAGCTGTCCAATAGTTCTCCAAACCTGTTCTTCATATGATCCAGCAAACCCACTCCTGAACATTTACCCTGGTTCTATAGCCATCTTTCATGCCTTCGTTGTTTCCTTCTTAGATTTCTCAACTTGCTTCTTTCTCTCTTATTTAGCCTCTGATTAATGTTGCCCGATGAAAATTTACTGGCTGAACGGAGGAAGTCCAGAGGGAACAGGTGCTCCTCTTGGTCTGAGGTCTCTAACATGCTTCTGCCAGCTGAGGGTAGGTCCATCAGCAAAGTCAGGTTGTTGCTATTTGTGTGGTCTGAGTACACTGAAGAAGCTTCTAGACCACACTGAAATTCTCTTCCTCTTTGTGTCTGGGTCTCATGGGGAGCCACAGAAAATCTTTGTAGTAGCAAATCAGTATCAAAACTAGATGGATTCTGAGAAGAACAGCTATTTTTACTAGACTGTAAAGGCAAGTCTGAAAGGTCAATAGGATGTGTTTCATTTAGCTTGGTATAGGCAGGACTTTTACTATGTATTTCATATAAAGTGGGTAACAAAGTCAGCTTCTCATGATGTTCAGATTCAAACTATGTGATTTTCTATGAAAAGCTCTTGTAGTGCATCTGCCAGATATAAGCTGGGGAACAAAAAGCTGGTATTTTGAATCTGGTGTTCTGAAAAGCAATTTTTTGTTCTTCATCTGAAAATATGTTGATCTCACCTCCAGGCAGAGTGCTTCTGTTAATATTCCAAGGTCATTATTATTTTGGGCCACGTTTGAAAGCCTCTTTCTGGAGCCACCACCTGTCAGCAGAGTTTCCTTGTTACAACCTGATTGAATTCTAGAACTGGACAAATATTTCAGCGATGGTCTCATTAATCCATTTGCCTGTGTTGCTTGATAACTGGTCCGGCTCTTGGAGAGATATACAACTGTAAGATGGCCACAGGAACATTTTGGAGTGCTGACAAAGTTAAAGCCCCCTAAGTGGGCCCCGCAGAAAGGGCAGTTCAATATTTCAAAAGTCCACTGTGCCTTTTGTATTAGGCAGCTTATCCATTCAGGAAGGACTTCTAGATTCATGTGCCACACATGACAATGATCTTGGGTGTCAACAGAAGCATGTCTATCCTGCTCCGGTGTCCAGGACCAGGCGGCTCCCAGCCCCTCTCGGTGTGCCTGGCACCAAGGACTTGCGGCGGTGGCGGCTGAAACCTCCAGTTCTCACTACCCTGCACTACAGCAGCTGGCAGCAAGACTATCTCTTCTACCAGGTATGGCAGAGCCAGGACTGGAGGTCAAGTCTACACTGCATTGCCCTTCTCACTAGATAACCTGGAGGCTGATCTTGCTGATCTATGACAGCACCTTCACTTCCCACACTGATTCTCTGGCTTAATGCTAACTAAATTAAGAAAGGGACAGAAAGTATTGAGAGGACAGATGCTAATGTGGAAGAAGCTACTGGTTGTGAAGAAAAACACAGTGAGCAGGATGAGGCTTTGTAAAAAGGATGTCAAGCTGAGGAGATGTGGGATGATTATTAAGTTTTAGTGAACAAACTAGTTTCCGTATTTATATAATAGAGCTCCCCTGGGAAAAAGTGGGAGGCCTAAACTGAGACAGATTCATCAGCTCCAAGGTCCAAGCCAATACTGACATCACGAGGGCCTTCTACTGAGCCTCTTGAGCTGGCACAGCTGATGGAGTCACATCCCTGCACACTGCACACTGCCCTTGTGCCCCATGCCTCCAGCTTCCTATGTATTTACTTAGCAGAAGGCCACACCTCAGTGAAGTCAGAATGGATGTGTTGGAAGACAAAGGCGACGTGCCGAATCTGCTGTCACTTGTTGAGACTGGCTCTCCCTGCTGCAAGGATTCATGAAATTGGCGGATGTTCTGCACATGCTCTTCATGACGCGACTCTGGGCTTCTTGTGGTATTACTTCTGTTATGAGAAAATGGGAGAAACTAAATTCTCAGCCAGTGTGAAAACTTATCCTACAATGACACCAAACCTATCCCCACAACCAGTTCTGGCTTCATCAACTAGTACTTGGATTACAAATATCTCCCAAATAATCTTGTCTTCAGTCTCATCCACTCCACCTTCTTCCACTTGTCACATTACAGTCTGAGTGATTTCTCTAAAACATAGACCTAACATAGTAACAATCATATAAGTAGAGTCCTTATTTGATGACAAGCCTTATCATAAATAATCCTTCAATGTGTATTTTTTTATTACTCTCACTCTTTTTTATCTTTGTTTTCTACCTTTTGTCTATAAAACAAACCTCTAATTTCTAAGCATGATATTCAAGAATATGACTCCGGCAATCTCTTTTTAAATAAAAACTTTATTGACTTAATTCACATATCATACAATTAACCCACTTGGAAGTGTACAAGGCAGCCAGATTTGATGATGCATGCCTTAAATCCCAAGAATTCTTGGAGGCTCAGGCAGGGGGATTGCAAGTTTGAGTCCACCATAGGCAGCTTTACTGGACTTTGTTTTTTAAAAGACAGAAAATGCTCCTAAAAACAAACATGTATGTATATGCATTTCTGTGTGGACTCACTTCTTATGTATATATGGAGGTGTAGAATTACTGGATTACATGGTTACTTTGCCTTTAAACTTTTAAACAACCACCAACACTGTTTTCCAAAACAGGTGCACCCATCTTAGCAGTCTCATCAGCAATATACGAGGGTTCTAATTTCTCCATTCTTAATACCTGTGATACTTGTTGTCTTAATTATAGTCACCTAGTGGATATGGTTTTGATTTGAATCTTTTCATGGGCTTATTGGCTGTGTATCGTCACAGAAATACTGACTCAGATTCTTTGCTCTTTTAATTATTTATTTGGCAGTTCTCGTGATCCTCCTGCCTCAGCTTACTGAGTACCGGGATCACAGCCTTGTAGAGTTATCAATAATTTTTAATGGTGCTAAAGAGTTCTAAAGTGAAAATGTTTTAGAACTACTGCTTTACTAAAAGTGTCTGCATCGGAGCGAGGGCTCCGCTCAGCAAACTGCTGTGGTAGCCGTGGCTGCTGTGAGATAATACATCTCTCCTCCTCCCTGAGCAGGGCAGAGAGACGTGGGAAAGGCCCCAGTGGCGGCTGCTAGGGCCTAGAAGGGACAGGGGAGAAAGAAGCCACCTTAACTTCAGACCCTGTCCTTTGACAAGAGGGAGCATGCTCTAGTCCTGATACTCATCTGCATGTCTACCTGGATTCGTGAAAAAGATGGTCTAATTGCTTTTTGCAAAGCAACCTGGCACATAGTTTTGGGAGAGGAAAAATGATGTATTTCTTAAAAAAGGTTAAAGGCTTCTAAGGATAAGAGAAGAGTGGTCTTGGCACTGAAGTAACTCCTTTGATAACAGTAAAAATTCTAGCTCCTTTTTATAAAATTTTCTTTTTTTTTTTTTTTTTTTATTTGTGTGTGTGTGGCCAGCTCAGCCCGCCAGGGGGCGGGGCTGGCTGGCATGTGGTGCTGGGGGATTGAACCGCGGTCCCTGTGCTTTGCTAAGCTTGTTCTAAGTAGGTGCTTTAGACCACTGAGCCATCTCACCAGCCCATAAAATTTTATTTTCATAAATCTTAGGATGAGAGATCAACAAAGTTCCTTCCTATCTGCAGTTTTGTCCTCTAACAAAGGGAAATGATAAGCCAGTTCAGAGACTTCTACTCTTGACTGCTTTTCTTCCAACTGAGAAATTACTCACCTTCCAGGAGAGGAGAAATCAAGGTCCTTCAAAGAGGTCTGAGTAAGCTGGTCTTGAGTGTGTCTGGCACTTCCACTGGGGAATGCAGCACAAATATCCGAGGCAGGGAAGGAAAAGGGACTGTACATTGAGATCTGTAGAAGCCATCAAAAATGACATATGGGTTACCACAAGCCCTTGTGGAACAAAGAATATAAATAAATTTGTAAAATTTACTCAGTATAATACTGAGTGCTTTTTTGTTTTGCAGTACTGGGGATTGAACTCAGGACCCTGCGCTTGCCAGGCCTGAGTGATTTTTTTTGAGATGGTCTCATTATGTAGCCCAGGGTGGCCTTGAATGTGTGGCAGTCTTCGAGCATGTCTCCTAAATACGGGGATCATCAGAATGCACGACAATGCCCAGCAATACTGAGTACTTTCTATTATGTGTGTGTGTGTGTGTGTGTGTGTGTGTGAATCTGTAGGTCCTTTTGCTTGTTTGTTTCTTATGCGTGGGACTTACTTGTTCAGACTGACCTTGAACTCACTGTGTAGTAGTTCAGGTTGGCCTTGACCTTGAAGTAATCTGTCTGCCTCAGATTACTGAGTGCTGGGAGTACAGATGTGCAGCACTGTCTGCCTCATATTACTGAGTGCTGGGATTACAGATGTGCAGCACTGCACTTGGCTCACTTTCCATGTGCTGAACACTGTGCTAAGGAATTTATATTTTCTTACTTAAATTTTATGACTATCTTATGAGTCAGTTGTGCTCTTATCTTTATTTTATAGATTATACTATTAGGTTGATTTTTAGTTGCTTTATCTATTTATGCTCCTCTAGCTTGTTTGTAAACTTGCTGGAAATCATCTTATGTTTAGTTTACACATGACTGTGAGAGTTCTTGTCTCATGACTATTAGGGTTGAACTGAAGAAAAAAGACCTTGCTATGTACAGGAATTATTCTCTTGGTCCCTTTTTTAAAAAATGTATTTGGTACAGGGTCTCGCTATGCAGCTTGGACTCATAGCGATCCTCCTGTTTTTAGCCTTCCCAGCACTAGGATTATTTACTGTTGCTAATTTTTCTCTTCCCAAATTTTTTTCCTTGGTTTTTTTTTTTTTTTTCACGAAAGATCAAGGATTTTACTATAACAGAAAACAAAAACCAAAACCCAGCAGGTGTGGTTTCAGCTTCTATACTGCAACTAATCTTGTTTCATTTAAAAATAATATATAATTTATGTATTATTAAATTTACCACTTAAAATGTTTTATTCATGCTTTTCAGGATAGCCACTGTTTTGCAACTACTAGAAACTAACTGCAGAACTTTTTCATCCCCACCCCTCAAAAAAAGTAAAGAGGCTGTTATGAGACACCAATCCACAAATCATGTGCTCACGGAATCTTTTTGTACGTTTTGCCCAGCAGGACCCTGACAAGTTAGGTGCGATCAACACATACCAGTGGTGCTTGGGTCTTCATCCCACGTCTGGCGTGCCGCTCTTCTTTGATGTGCATCAGACTCTCCAGAGGGGAGATGGCAACCTTTATTTGCCCTTGGCACTCGCCACTGAGGTCTGTAATGTTGTACCAGCCACAGATAAACTGGAAGCCAGAGAGCAGTGGGGAGAGGTTCACTGAGGCAAAACCAATCACTCTCTCCTCATCTGTGGGAAAAGAGAAGAGCCGGGCAGCACAGCTGGGCATGTTCTGTGCAGAGAAGCTGACTGTGGGAGTCCACTCATCAGAGAGGATGACAACGCGTTTGGGAGAGTCCACACCTGTGCCTGCTAGAGTTCCCTTTCCACATTGCAGGCAAGAACTGGCAGGGTTGAGCCCTGGTCTTTTTTTTTTTTTGGCTGTACAGGGGATTGAACTCAGGGCCTTATGCTTGCCAGGAAAGCACTTATTCTACTGAGCTATCTCTCTGGCCCTCTTTTTTCTTTTCTTTTTTTTTGAGGAACCAGGGATTGAACTCAGGCCCTTGCGCTTGCCAGGGAAGCACTTATTCCACTGAGCCATCTCCCTGGCCCCAGGCCCTCTTTTTTAAAAAACTGTTTTATAGAAAAAAAGGTAGAGCAAAATTTCATAAAAAATAACAGGAGAATAAAAATAGTTCATACATTACATGTTATCTTTAAAGTAGCTGCTCAGAGTACAAGATACAAACAAACATCTGTCCAATCAATATTAGCACAAATCTTCCTTTTTTTTTTTTTTTTCAGTACGGGGGATTGAACTCAGGACCCTGCACTTGCCAGGCAAGCACTTATTCTACTGAGCTATCTCCCCAGCCCCACAAATCTTCCTTTTTAATGAGCTATCCATGAGTAAGGGATATATTTCCATTTTCTGATATTCTCTTTGATCTCCTTTATTGTGTATTATGATTTTCAATATATAGGTCTTTAAATTTTTTTTTCCATAATTTTATTGAGAAATAAATAACAATGAGACAATTTCAAATCAAATTGGTAGGACAGTTCCTTTTCCCCTTTTCCCTACTCTCTTTTCTTTTACTTATCCTATTTACTTTTGAACAATTTCATTTCACATTATCTACTATACATCTTAAATTTTTAAAAATGTATTTAGTACAGGGTCTACAGGGTCTTACTACGTAGATTGCACTCATAGTGATCCTCCTGTTTTCAGCCCCCCAACTGTTGGGATTTCAGGCCTGTGCCACCACGCCCAGTCTCAACTGCCATCTCAGCATGCCCCAGGGGAGGAGCTGGCACCGCACAGTGGGGAGCACTCTGGGGATTGAACCCCAGCTGCTGTGACCTGCCTAAGCAGGTGCTTTAATCCGCTGAGCTATCTGGCCAGCCTCTCTACTATACATTTTAGACCTTAATCTATATTTACTCTTTCAGTTTGTTACACCAGGGAGACAATGCAATGTTTACGCATGTGAGACTGATTTACTTCACTTGAGTATGGTTTCAAGTTGCATCTACTTACCTATACAAGTCTTAAATTTATCATCATTTATGACTGAGCAGTAATTCATT